AATGAGACTCTGTCTCAAAAAAAAAAAAAAAAAAGTCCTTATATCCTCTTCAAAGGTGTTGTTTCTACAGATTTGAGAGCAAGAGTTTCTGACTACCCTGCTGTTTAGTCAGCAGCTTCTTGACAGTCTCTGACCTATCTTTCTAATCAATCTTTTCCATTCTCTTGTTCCTTTCTCTTCCAGCGGAAGGAAAAAGATAATTTAATGGTAAATCTATTTTGCTTTCCAGGAATTTGTTAAGACATGCTAAATATAATCACTGTTTAACTACCCAATTATTATGAGAATGTTAATCAAAAGTAAATTATGATTCCTGTATAATTTTGATTGTGCACTTAAAAAGTTGCCATTCTAAGCTTTGCTAAATATCTTAGGCATAAGCATCTCATAATTAAGGAATATTCTATTAAAGTTTAACATATCTCATAATACTAGGGCCTTTTAGAACTATGTAAATCCAAGAGGAGCTGAAGCTAAAGCTAAAGCTAAAGCTAAAGGCTTAGAGAAATTCTGAGCTTTCTCTATATTAAATTTAAAGTCCATTATGCACTAATATTACCAAAAGTTCAAACAGACTACCTTAAGTGCTATTCAAATATTTGTGGACCATTAAGCTTTTATATAAATAAGAATGTCTGTTAGCCAAACAAGTTGGAAAAAGCCAGTGAAATAAGTCAATGCCTTTGGATTTGATCCTTTGAAATCTGCAGGATTAAGCAATCAGTGCCAACATGGATTTATAATTCACATGCAGTGAGTTTCTGGCTTTATGTTTCCTGAAGAAAATTTCATCATGCAGATGTATGAGAAAAATTTCATTCATAGTATTTTAAACTACTATAATTAGGTTGCAGTTTCTGCAGTGAGTGGGATAAAGTTTTATCAAATATGGGCATTCCCCTAACACATAGATAAAAGGTAGAAAAAGAGTAAGAGGGGATGCAGAGAGGTTGATTAATGGGTACAAATATACAGTTTGATAGAAGAAGTATGACCTAGTGTTTGCTAGATAAGTAATTGTATATTTCAAAATAGCTAGAAGAGAATAATTTGAAAGTTTCTAGCATAAAGAGAAAACAAATATTTAAGGTGATAGATATCCCGGTTACACTGATTTGATCTTTACAAATTATACATATGAATTAAATTATCACATGTACCCCTAAAATATGGACATCTATTATGTATCAATAAAAAAGTAAAATTAAAAAAGATAAAGGTAGAAAAGATACTTTAGGAGCTGAGAATGGGGAGCAGGGTTTGGAAAGGTAGTCTATGGCAGTGAGAAAGGGATAGCCAAGATCAGAGAGGATGGTAGGGGGTTAAGGAAATGATGCATTTGAAAAGTAAACCAGAGTCAGGGTTTAAAGACAAAAAAAGTCTAAATACTGGATAAAGTACCACAACCAAAATACAGCTAAGGATTAACAATTTAATTGCTTGTTGACTAAGTTTTCCAACTTAGTTTATTAGTACTTCTTGTGTGTGGGAAAATATTTCTAATTTATAAGGAAGTCAAATGAGGAGGTTTTCTTTATAATAATTTTGATGAAACAATTCCATAAAGTTATATCTCTATAAAGAATTATTAACAGAAATAATTTTTCTGAGGTCTTGTCTTAGATACATGTAGATTCTGAAAGAAGTAAACACACATATATCACTGTATTTCCTCTCTCTTTTCTCTGTCCAAACAGTTTAGTTCTACGCTAGTCAAAATGAGATCTGCCTGGAAGTGGAGAGAAAAGAACCATGTATGTGAGTCATAATAAAGTAGTTAACTGTTATTCTTGTTCTCTTTCAAACTTTCGTTTTATGAGTTTCCTTCTTGATTTATCAGCCATTTATTTATTCATTCATTCATTAATAAAATATTGGGCTCTCTGATGTCTAGCCTCATCATTCAACCTCCTATTTACCAACACCACGTGGATATCCTATGACGCACCTCACATTTAACATGCCCCAAACAGAACTAAAAATATCACCTCTCCTAAGCCTGCACCTTCTCCAGTCTTCCCAACTCAGTAAAAGGCCACTTTAATCTTACACTTAATATCAAGACCCTTTTCTCTCTCCACATCCAATCCATCAGCAAATTTTGTCAACTCTAATTTAGACATGTGTCCAGAATCCCACTGTTTTTCTTCAACTCCATCAATGCCCCTCTAGTGCAAGTCACCATTATCTTTTGCCTGAACTATTACAATAGTTTCTTGACTGGTTTTCCTACTTTTATCTCTGCCTTTATCTTCTATTCCTGACAAAGTAGCCAGAGTGATCTTTAGAAACAGTTATATCATGTCAGTCCTCTGTCCATAACCCTCCCATGGCTTCTCGTATCACTTAGAGTAAAAGCCAAAGTTCTTACTATGGCCTAATAAGCCCCTACATAACCTGAAACTGAAAACATCTTTAATTTAACCAAAATAGTTGAAGACTCCAAAATTACACAATATAATAAAGTGTGACTGGTCACAGCTCAGACTTCATGTATGTACTCAAATTCTTCAATGGCGACTACCAAAACCAAACCTTAATCTCTAACATGGAATTATATTCACAAGTTTGCAAGAGAACGTGTACAACAGTGTAACAGTATTTGAAATAGTTAAAACCAGGAAACCACCTAAAAGTCTATTTAATAGAGGGAATGGTTACATAAATTACGGCATTTAATTATACT